AAAAGAAAAGATTCTTTCATTGTTTTACAAAGCCTCCCCCAGGTCCCCTCCACCATGGAGCCATCGCTCTAGACTCCTGTGATGTCATGCCTCTGGCATTGAATCCACCAGCTGTTCCCAGGAAGAAATATGGACATTCTCCTCCTGTGTGATTCCATAGCATCAGAAAATCTGGAGAGTCAGCTATGAGCTGGTTCTGACTTGATAGCAATGAGTGAGCGAGCCATCACTGCTTTCAAGGGGCCTTCATGGTGCGGGGCTGCTTATCAAAGAGCAGACATCCTAAACCACCAGCTACTCCTGGAACAAAGAGGCAGAAGTCTGCATCTGTTAAGATAACAAGCCGGGGAACCATACAGGGCACTTGTACTGTGTTGTTATTGCTGTGCACCTTGGAGTCAGAAATGACTCCTCGCTGACCCTCTGGTGGTTATTCAAGGCTGTAGATTGCATAGGAGGAGAAAGCCCATCTTTCTCCTGAGGAGCAGTTGATGAATCCAAACTGCATGCCTTTGGGTGATGGTGCAACTCCTTACCACACTAGCGACTGGAGCTCCCTTCTGCTACATGCAAGATGAATAGGAGTCAGAATTGACAAGGTAGCAGTGGGTCTTATTGTTGCTTTATGTATACATACCACAGACCTCAAATTCCTCTAGCGGCGCTGCCCTGTTACCTTGGGGTGAAGCTGGAGCCCGAGGGCCACAGGGTGTTCTCTCCTCAGCTATCGGCTGGCTCTGGTCTTGACCCTCACTTTCTTTCCCATTATACAGCACCCTGTTGTTGCTTCATTCATGCTGCTGACCTCCTGGTTAAAGCAGGAGGTCTATTGTTCTGGGCCTTCAATCTTGGGCTGGCCCTGTGTAGCTGGGCTACAGATGTGGGGACTTCTCTTTGTTTCTGCCCTTTGACAGTGTGGCAACCACATTTTGTCTTGTATTTCTGACATATTTATTATGTTTATCCAGAGTTTTCAGTATCTGTCCAGAGACCTCTGCTTGGTATAGCATCCTACTCAAATCTCACCCTTTCTTTCTCATTGAATAGCTAGCTTCCAGTTACCTCTGTGGCCTACCACCTGCTGTGTTCTGGCCTACCCCTGTGTTTCTTGTGAGAGCCTTGGAAAAGGACTGGTGAATGCCCCTCAGGCCTGTTTTGCAGACTGTCCTGTACTGACTTCTTAGTCCACATTTAGCCTTTGGCTGTTGCAGGCCATTCAGCAGTCTGTATGGCAGAGTATAACTGCACCATGTTGTTGTTAGATGCCATCGAGTTGAGTATAACTCATAACGACCCTATGAGCAGCCGACATGAACCCTAACTTATCCTGTGGAATCCTCACCATCTCTGACCCAATAGAGCCCATTGCTGAAGTCATAGTGTCAGTCCATCTCCTTGGGTCTTCCTCCCTCTTGCTGACCATTTACATTTCCAAGCATGATGATCTTTTCCAAGTAATAACCTACTTACATGTCCAAAGTCTAAAAGACCTATCTTCACTCTCACCTGCACCATGTTGAGTACCATAGTGTCAGAATCGACCGAAAGCTGACCTTCCAGCATGTTTTCAGAGGCAGTTAATTGCACGGGAGGAGATTGCCCATCCTTCTCCCATGAACAGCTGGTGGATTCAAATGGTGTGCCTTCAGGATTGCAGCGCAGCTTCTTGTAACAAGGCCACCAGAGCTCCTTAATCATCTGCACCATAGGATGTCCTAAATGACAGTCTTTACAAGAGCAGACCACCACGTCGCTGTTTCTCTGTAGGAGCCAATGGTGGATTGAAACTGTCCCTTTCAGTTAGCAGCTGCGACCTTAATCATGAGGGCTCCTTTAAGAGGGTGTTAAAGTATAGCCAACCAGTGAGCAGGTCAGCAGTCCCTTCTACCTGAGCTTCCCTCAAGGGACACAGTTCTGTCCCTTCTCACCTTTGAATCCCTGGCTTTTTCTTGGAAATGAGGTTATGAATGGCCACTTCCAGCAACTGTACTTTCCCTTTGTTGTTCTGGTGTATTGTCAAGTTGGAACCAACTCAGAGCTGAACGCTCACAGGCAGTAAATGGCAAGGAGTTGACTGCCCATCCGCCTCCCACTGCCCAGCCAGAGGCTTTGAATGGGTGCTGTCCTTGGTAAGGAAGGTAGCATCTGCTTCATTAGTAAGCTGTTCTCTTTGGAAAAATTAGCTAAGTTGTTTAGGTTTAAGAAATTTTCCCCCATTTGCATCTAATTTTGGATTCGGAGCTTTGTCCATGGTACTTTTCAACTTCTTCTGACTTATGTCTGTCTCTTCTTATCATGTTGACAGGCTTAGGGTGGGATCTGTTTGTGGGTTTTGCCATGTGCTGTTCTTAGGCACTTGTTTCTAAGGGAACCATGGCCTGAGGATGTGTTAGGTGGCTAAGGCCATACTAAATCAGAGATGCTGGGAAATGAGTCAAGTTCTTTTGTATTTGTGTGTGTATTAATAACTGAATGCTCAGTACTTCTGAAAAATTCTGATGAACACATCTGGCTTGATGTTTGCAGTTGAGAAGTGGTCAGAAGCAACGGCACAAGAGAAGAAAACAGAATGTGTGAAAGAACCAGAAAAAGCGCCTGTAATTTCTTTAGAACCTACACGAAAGGAAAAATCAACGGACACAGAGGAGGACAGTATTAGTGGACCATTATTCAGCAACAAAACCACCCAGTTCCCATCTGTTCATGCTGAGGTCTCAGAGGGTGTGGATGAACAGGACACCGTTTGTAGTCCTTCCAAACCATCCACCCCACCCTCATCACCATCGCCAGGACCTGAGTTTGCCTATGTCCCAGCTGACCCAGCTCAATTTGCTGCCCAGATGTTAGGTAAACACTCATCTCTTCATTCTGATCAGTCTCAAGTTTTAATGGTGGATGTGGCCACAAGCATGCCTGTGTTGCCTGAGCTGAGCTCAGAGGCTGCTGAAGAGATGGTGGCCTTTCCTCCGGAGCATTCTGGAGAGGTGATAGCAGTGCAAATTATGAGCCAAACCTCTGCCCATGTAGATATAGACCCTAAAGCCACAGACGATGAGGCTGAACAGTCAGCGGCTTCCTCACTCCCCTTGCAGGATGAACAAGAACCTCCTGCTTGTGATCAAGCTCCTGAGGTCGATTTTCAGGCTGATATTGAGGTTACATCAGTCCTTCACATATTATCCATATATAACGATGTGCCTGTGACTGAAGGAGTCACTTATGTTGAGCAAATGCCAGAACAAATAGTTATCCCTTTTACTGATCAAGTTGCTTGTCTTAAAGAAAATGAGCAGTCACCACCAGGTAGTCTCAAACTGATAGCATCCAAGGCAGGCTCAGGCGTGTCTTCAAAATCTGTAAGTCCTGCCAGAGTTGTTGTACAGAAGGAGGAGGAGGAGGATGATGATGATGAAAATCGTGTGCCCTCAGTACATCTGGAGGCAGAAGGAACAGTTGAGTTCTCTGACACCTCTCTGAAAGATCTGCAAGAGGTGTCTGCCCACATTGCCATGGAGGTCAGTGCGGTAGTAACTGACAACACCGGGCAAGACGAGGCAAGGGAGAACTCTGTGCCCCTGGAGATGAAGGTCATACATGTGTCCTCTCTGGGATCTGCCAAAGAGGGGCACTCAGGGACATCCGTAAAATCTTCTGGTGGCTCCCCTTACCCTGTTCCAGAAGGGGAACCAGAAATGAAGCCAGAAGGGGAAGCAGCACCTGAGCAAGGTTTGATGGAGCCAGGTAAGAAAATTAGATATATGTACACAATTACAGATTGCGTTCCAGGTGGCAGCGGTAACCATCTAGGTAGGCTTCCTGCAGAGCTGAGTGAAAGGGTTTACTTTCAAGAGCTTTTAAAAAAAATATGCCAAACCTACTTAAATGCTTTGCTGTATTGGAGATTTTATCATCATGAGGTGAGTGATTTAAAAGAGACATTCAAAATATTTGGTCATCTAGCATTTTTGTGCCCATTGTTGGGTTTAAAAAAAATCACACCCATGTGATCTGTTTTGTATGCTTATTACTAGGAATTGTGGGTTTGACATGTCTCACTTGTGAGTGTAAAATCAAACTACAGCAATGCATCTACAGAGGCAGTGGCACTGAACCTCCACTTCTTAAGCAAAGAAGAAGGAGTAAAAGAAATGGTGGTGTGTTTGACTGCTTTCGCACTGCGGCAGGAGAGCTCTGCAGAAGAGCTGGGGAGCTGGGTCATCAAGCACGGATTTCCTGCCTGGGGACTTGTGCAGCTGAGGAAGCAACTTCATAGCTGGATGGAGAGAGGAAAGGTCAGGCTGATCCTCTGTCCCCCAGGGGACCAGAGAGGGCTGTGCAGCAGGAAGGACTGCCAGGCACTTGAGCTACAATGTTGTTCAGATGGCTGCCTTTCTTGTCTTGGTTTCTTTATCAAGTGCCCAGATCACATTGCTCTTCTGAGCGCTGGACAACCCTCCCATTTCCCTGTGGAACAGACATGATGTGACCTCCATCTCTCATCTAATTATGACCTTGGTCTGCTCACCCTCCTGCCCCCCTAAGGCAACTGCATGGAGCCTTTCCATTTTTTTGTGATGGGCTGGACATGCACGAGTCAGTCTCCCCATTCCTTTGCAGAAACTCTCTCAGGTTTGACTCCAGCCAGACCCAGGATGATAACGAAGTGTTACCAAGGCAGGTGTTTGGAAAGGATTAAATTCTGTCTGGCAGTGTGACGGGATTCTGTACAGCTGACAAGGCAGAGGGCAGCGTTGGGAGTGCAGCACGTGGGACGGCCATTATACTTGTGGCATAAGCAGCTCTTCCATACCAAGTCACTGTTTTCAAGTGCTTAACCTTTCCTAGAATTGGCCTCAACATTAAGAATATTTAACAACAAAGACTATCACATTATCTCCCTACTTTTAAAAAATGGAGACTTGGCTTGTATGTATTTTTAATAAGCTTGAAGAAAGATTAGTTGACAGTACCTGAAGCTATTGAAAACCCTATCTGCTTAATCATGTGCATAGCATTATTTTCTTTTCTGGGGAAAATAAAAAGGCTGCACCAGGGATAGATGACCCTGTTCCAATGGGAAATGACCCTTTGGGCAGGATAGAAGGCATGGCACTGCCCATCAGGACATTCTTCTCCTCGGTGTCCCATCTTCTGGGACTGGTTCCCCAAGACAGGACCTCACCAGGCAAGTCAGCTTGACATGATGGAACATGAGTGGGAGCAGACTGTGCTCCTACATCTCTGCCTGCCTAGCCCTCCTGAGACCAGCCAGCCTCTTTCTGCCACCCACAATCTAGGATTTCAAACCTTGCTACATAAAAGCGTGGTGCTCTATGGGGTTCTGAGTCCTAGATTATGTGACATTAATATGTGGTGACAAATTGGTGAGCGATAACAGTGCCCGTGAAGGGCCAAGATACTTGGTCATTTACACAAAAGACAACCCCCGTGCTGCCTTTTACCAGTGAAGGAATCACTATGCAGATGCATTAACCCTTTTTCAATATCTTACCATACTCTGCAGTTGATTTTTCTGTAAAGCTAAAAGTTTTGTTGACTGTCCAGTCCCTCTCTGAGGACCCTGTAGAAGCCATGTCTACGTTCAAGTGCCTGGAAACAGTAACTTGGAGTGAAATTGCTTCTTCAGCCGCAACTCTAGTGTCCCTGCCACTTGCTAGCACAACAACACTGTTCTTCCTTTCCAACTGTAGAGAATCTCTCTTCTTTCACATTACCAAACACAATTTACTCAACCCTCTCTATAGCATGCTTTATGGCACATATTATTACTACAGCTGTTTGTTTATATGTAAAAAAAGATTTACAAAGACATTTCTGTGCATAGTGCCTGATACAGAGACCAAATCTTTAATGCCTGCAAATTTTGTTTTGTTTTGTTTTTTTATAGCAATAGCAGCAAGCGAAGCAGGACAACCACCACCATATTCTAATATGTGGACCCTTTATTGTCTAGCTGATATGAATCAACAAAGTCGCCCATCACCGCCACCTGCACCGGGGCCTTTCCCCCAAGCCACCCTCTATCTGTCTAATCCTAAGGATCCACAGTTTCTGCAGCAGCCACCGAAAGTTACTTCTCCAACTTATGTGATGATGGATGAGAGCAAGAAGACCAGTGCCCCACCTTTTATTTTAGTAGGCTCAAATGTTCAGGAAGCACAGGATTGGAAACCTCTTCCTGGACATGCTGTTGTTTCACAGTCAGATGCCTTGAAGAGATATGCTGCAGTCCAAGTCCCCATTGCTGTTCCTGCAGAGCAGAAATTCCAGAAACATAGTCCAAATCCCCAGAATGCTAGTCCTCCAAGTGGACAAGATGTCCCCCGACCACAAAGCCCGGTTTTTCTTTCTGTTGCTTTCCCAGTAGAAGATGTAGTCAAAAAAAGTGCAGGATCTGGTGACAAACGTACTCCCTTTGGAAGTTACGGTATTGCTGGAGAAATTACCGTGACTACTGCCCAGGTTCGCAGAGCAGACACTTAAAACTGGTAGGTAAAGTTTCCTACCAGAATACATGGGTCTTTACATGCTTGAGTTTTCAGCATTTTGATTTATTGACCTGGAGATTGAGCTTAAAAACAATTAAACGGAATTGAGATAATTTACAGTGAGCTTGACACGTTGTAATTTAATTTGTCTCCTCAGTATCTGACAAGTGCATAGCCAGTTCACTGTACTGCCATGACCCTCACTGAGGGGTTGGTGCCTTTCAAGGGACCCAGTCAGCTCCATCACCTTTATGGCAGAGGCTGAAGGGGACGGAGTAATAATGAACAAGGGAACAGCCTTGTCTGAGAACCTTCTAAACATGTTTGATAAGTGGGGAGATACATAGGTAGGGCATGACATGGGGATAAAGGGGCAAGCAAGAGAACTTCAGATTATCTGGGGAGCACCCAATCAATGACCGAAGAGTTCTGAACATGCACAGTAATACAGAACGGGTTGGAAGCACATTAAAGAGTTAAGGTGACAAATGGAATTCACTGCATATAAGGCTGTTTATGACATGTTATTAGTTATTCAATCAGTACTTTATACCAAGTACTGTGCTGATCCGCTGCCTATGTGTAAGTAGATGGATGAGTAAACTGTGAAACTAACACTTTTGCTGGGGAGACAATGAAGTAAATTACAGTATGTGAATGAAGCAAGCAAACGATACTGCCTAACCATAGGCTCCCCTTTAACAGGGAAAACAGACTGGGTATTGTCAGGAGATGGGGCACATTCAGGGTGGTGTGGCCACAGACAGCTCAGGATGTCCAGGCATGGCCTCAACGAGGTGTCTCCAACCGTGGCCTGAGCATGACAAGGAGCCAGACTTGAGAGTACCTTCAGGAAGGTCCTATGGCAAGAAAGGGTCCCAGGGAGGCACAAGAACCAGAAAGAAGGTCCAAATGAGGCTGGCCAGGGCAGAGCATCTATGTAAGATGAGGCTGGAGAGGTCTAGTAGGGCAAGAAGGGCCAAGACAGATACTTAAGGAGAAGAATGACAGAACCAGGTTCATAGATTAGCAGTGAAGATTAAATGGAGAAAGCAGAGAGATAAGTATAAACTACAAATATGTGTTATCCACACCAAGGAATTGAGATGCTTAGAAAATTCATTTTTTATATATATGTATGTATATATATATATGTGTGTGTGTATATATATATATATATATATATATATTTCAAGTTCTGAATATCTGAGACATGGACAAAAGGCAGATTTCAGTACTGCAGTACTAGATGTAGGGCCAATACTCCAGTGCCTTAGGGTTAACTGCATTTCTGCTCCCTCCTCATTCATCCTTTACATGCTAGATCTCACTAGAGGTGTGAAATGGCTGTTTGCAGCATGACATGCTAGGATATTTTACTGCAAACCCTCAGATAATGAATCAGATTAGTTGAGAGCTTAGTAACAGCAGAGGAGGGCAAATCTTAGAATTTTTGCTCCCCCACTCATTTCACATGTTCAGTGTTATCATTAAATCTTAACAATTCCATGTTTACATTATTCCTAACAGATGCTGAAAATGACACTGTTTGAATCGACAGTCAAGGCTTTGAGTCTTACCACCAAGCGTAATATTTCAATAAACTTCATGCAAGCATAAACCATGTATTCTTGCTATGTTTCTTATAATTTAAAAGGTAGAGTAATAAAGTAACAACAAAGGCCTGGGATCAGACACATGAAGCATCAGCACTTCCTAACTCATATATGCAGAATTTGTAAAAAACCATTCTCATGTGCTTTCTACTGTTTCTACTTGATTTCCTTTTATTCACCAAGGCTAACTGCCTACCCAGTGATCTGGTTTTCTCCCTGATCCTTCAGGATGACAATACTGTGAGGCCTTCTCTGTGAGAACACTCTTGGTTATTTTGGACAGTATCATGGAGTGGCATCAGTTCCGTAATAGCTTGCCTCTGGAAACTATGAATCTAAAGAAAGGATGAAAGTTATACAGGTGTCCAGGTCTTCCATTCATAGGGTCGATATGAGTCGCCTACGACTCAATGGCACTTAACATCATTATGCAGTAGCATGAGTACATTTGAAATCTCAAAAGAAACACACTCCTGGTGAACATTCTAATGTCTTTATTTAGTATTAGGTAAACTATTTCATTATAACATCTATTAACTTTAAGACAGCAATTAAAATAATTTACTGGCAGCTACCTTGGGCCCTGGGGCAGTAACTCAGACGGGTTTGTTTGAGTAGATAAATACCATAAGATTAGTGTTCCCCACTTACAGGGGCACTGTACAGTAGGTCTCTTTTAAGTACATAAGTGCCTTGCAGACTCGCAATGTACAAGACGCCCTCTGATTTGGTCTGCTACTCCTATACACGGTGCAACCTGACCTCTTTACTGGCTCTTACCACAAGAAGCGGAAACATTTAAAAAGGTCTGTTGCATCATTATTAAAATCTATATTTCTAGGTCCATTTTAGTGAATTGCTAAATTTTATTTTATACATATTTCAATTCAAGCATGTACAATTTAAATTTCCTTTAAACAACATTGATTATAATTGTCAAAGTAAATTCACAACACTACCATAAATATCCTTTCCAGGTTAATTCTTTAGACGTTTCAAATCATGAATACCTATTGTGGAATATTCAGGCTTTTTTTCTGGGTTTTGTTTGGGGTTTTTTTTTAGGTTGAGGATGGTAAAACTTGAGAAAATTTCACGCAAAGAAAAGCCATCTGATCAATGTACTCGTTACAAAATGGCAGAGCCGTCTCTATGTTTTAGCACATAAATACTGTACAGGAGAGCTCTAAACATTTCAGAGTTACATCTAAAATATTCAAGCAATGACAGCATAAAAATATTGCAATGATTTAGAATTACTACAGAATTCATAAAGCTCATGTTATATTTAGTTATCAACCTTCAGTAAATATGGCAACAACAACTGCAAAAGCAGATTCCCCAGCAGTTTCTCCTCTAAACAAAATAGTTTCCCAAATAAATTTGTTTGGATAGTAAAATTATCTCTTCTTCCCAAGACTTTCATCACCTTAATGCCTTACTTTTGTGTGAAATGCAAGTTACACATGGGCCCTCTCTTTTATTTTTAAAGATGAGTAGAAATCAAGAAGAAAAAAACCCACCCATTTTAAAAAAAAACAAACACAAAAAACAGATTTAAGACTTATTCATAAATCAGCCAACCACCCTGACTTATGTGCATTTTAATAAATGTCAGGTAGATTGAAGTAGTTTCTGTCCCAGTAGCTGCCCGCATAGAGCCAGTCTTGTGCACCATTGTAGGGATTAGGGCCTTGATGGAACCACCTGTAAGAGAATGGACAGGGCTTAGGAGGGATGTGCTGTAATCAGAAGGGACCTGCTGCCTCCTGTGCCTGCTCTGTTTCCACAGGTGCTCCACCACTTCCCCTCTCTTCATTCTAGGAGTTATATACAGAGATACCAGAACAGACTCAGAGTGTCATGCTGGGAAAGACTTGACAAAGTCTCTTCAGGAAATGTGTGAAGAATAATATTCCAAAAGAAGTAATGATATCATTCATGTAAGAGCTTCCACAGCACTTAGCAAAAATATTGAACAGCTTGATATTGTTATGTATCACGGAGTCAGGACCAACTCACAACTGACCCTCCAGCAGGTTTTTAGAGTCTGTAAATCATGAGGAGACTGCCAATCTTTCTCCTTTGGAGCAGCTAGTGTATTCTAACAGCTTACCTTTGGATTGACAATGCAACTCCTTACTGCTACGCCACCAGAGCTGCTTATGCGGAACAGCAGCAGTAGGAGCATGTGTCTTGCAGCGCTGACTGAATTAGTATATTTGTTGAATTAGTTCACTCTAGCCCAACTCCTTATCTAAGCAATTATAATATAGGGTGAAAGTGACCTTTTACAACATTCTTCTAGATATATCTCTAGCTCTATCTCTCTATATCTATCATCTATCTATCTATCTATCTATCTATCTATCTATCTATCTATCTATCTATCTATCTATCTATCTATCTAGTTGATTTATAGTTAACGCCTCACAAACATCTTTGTTTTTATTATTCCACTTACACCAGGTCCTTCATATTGAATTAGGATGAGACATTCTGTTGTTGTTATGTGCCGTCAAGTCGCTTGCGACTCATAGCGACCCTATGTACAACGGCCTTAAACCCTGCTCTATCCTGTGCCAATCGCACTGCCTCTGACACACCCATCCCGATTACCCCAGTCACTGAATCAATTCACCTCATAGAGGGTCTTCCCCTCTTGTGCTGTCCCTCCACCCTACCAAGCATGATGTCCCTAAGGACCTGTCCCTCCTTACAATATGTCCAAAGTATGCCAGACAAAGCCCCAGAATTCTTGCCTCCAAGGAGCAGCCTGGTTTAATCCTCTCCAGGATGAATCCATTTGTTTTCTTGGTTGTCCATGGTACACTCAATACTCTTCTCCAGCACCACAGCTCAAAGGCATCAATTCTTCTATCCTCCCTAGTCATTGTCCAACTCTCTGATGCATAACAAGTGATTGCAAAGACCATGGCCTGTATCAGATGTACCTTAGTCTCCAGAGTGACACCATTGTTCTTCAGTACCCTGGAGAGGTCCCTAACAGCAGACTTTTCCATCGCAATACGTTTTCTGATTTCCTGGCTACTGGTGCCAAGAATGTTGACAGTGGAGCCAAGCAGACTAAAGTTGTTAACAATCTCAATCTCTTCACCATCCAGCCTGATGCTGCCAATTGGTCCAGTGGTGAGAATCTTTGTCTTCTTGACATTGAGCCACAATCCATATTGGAGGCTGTAGTCTTTGACTCTCTGCAGCAAGCGCTTCAGGTCCTCCTCAGTTTCAGCAAGCAGGGTTGTATAATCTGCATATCGTAGACTGTTGATAGATCTTCCACCAATCTTGACCCCACATTTCTGTTCATAGAGCCCAGCCTCTCGGATAATCTGTTCTGCATACAGGTTAAAAAGGTACGGAGACAGGACACATCCCTGGCATACACCTTTCCCAATTTTGAACCATGCAATGTTTTTCTGCTCTGTTCTGACGACTGACTCCTCGTCCAAGTATAGGTTTCGCACTAGATCGATCAAGTGTTCTGGGATTCCCATTCTTCTCAGAGTCAGCCACAGTTTGTTATGATCCACATAGTCAAATGCCTTTGCATAGTCAATGAAACACAGACATTCCTTTGGTATTCCCTGCTTTCAGCTAAGATCCATCTAACATCAGCTACAATATCCCTAGTACCATGACCCCTTCTAAACCCAGCCTGGACTTCTGGCAGTTCTCTGCTCATGTGCTGTTCCAGTCATTTTTGGATAGTATTTTTATAATAAAGCAGTTCCAAGCTGCTTATTTCCCCAAATTCTTAAAATCCCAGTTTCTAACTAACCTGAGTACCACAGAAATGATATTAACTTTTCCAAGCTAGTGACAGAAAAATTTTGTGTAATTTTAAAGACTGTTTGTTTTTCAGTTCATGGAACATGATCTCCTAAAATTCATCTCATGCAAATCTTTCTGGGTCTCAATGATAATATGGATCCTTGGATCCATATTTTAAAGTATCTGGCTTTAAACATCCCCACATGCTGTATCTGTAATTTTAGAAGAAGCAGACCTAGCTGGTTTCCTATGTTGAGGGGCATGTCACCTGCCTTCCACAACCCCAGCTTGAGGATGAATTTGCTCACTTAGACTCAAAGGTCCCTATCATCACCACGACAGCAGTGGACATTCCCTATGGGAGTAAAAAGATGAGCATAGCAGGAAGCAAGTTTTCTCTACTGTTGAGTTCCATTGCTGCTGGGTAAAGTGCATGGTCCTGGTAAAGAAGTAATTTTTTCTATGCAAAAATCTGTACTTCTGGATTTTACTTTTCCCTTTTAAGTACAGAAAGTATAAAGTTTTGCTTGTTAACTTGATTTAACTGGCATTTACCTATATTACTGTGTAGAAATATTTTAAACATAATTTCCAGATGGAAGCAGGAGTGGCATCCACTTCCTAAACAAAATGCCTCTAGAAACTCTATGAACTTTGAGAATGACAATAGTTATAAAAGGGCTTCAGGAATTTTATTTATAGGGTTGCTTTGAGTTGTGCTTGACTCGATGGCAATCAATAACAACAAGAGTTTCCAAATAGCCATGATCCTTTTCTTTTTAGGGTACTCAGAAGATATTTATTTTTTTTATATTTTATGTTGGCGTGCTTACAAAGTTTGCATACATTGTGTTTCACACATTCTTCATTCATATTGTGTTTCACAGACTCATTCATATGCATTATGTTTTAAAAAATTAATCACCATTGGACTATGCCCATCACTACTGTCTTTTCAGGTCCGCACTGGATTTTTCCCCTTTCCTTTACCCCCTCCCTCCACCCCCCAATTGTGCAACTCTGTTTTTTCATCCCTATCCATCCTCACCCCTCTGCCAAATAACCATTTTTTATAGTCATTCATGCAATTCTTTCACTCTGAATATTCAGAACATGTTAGGGACAGTAATTTTTCTCTCAGGCCTCGGAACAATCCAGCTGAGCAAGTGCTGGACAGTTTCTTGCTCTGTGATGGCTGACACTCCACCCCTGGCTTCACTGACAGGCAGGAAGAAGCCCATCTGAGGGCCGAGTCACATAACCTGACAGTGTCACTCACCTGGTCTTCCAGTCCTCTTCTGACTTGGACCTGTTTTTGCGTGCTGCTCTTTGTTTTTCCTCTAATCGCTTTTTTTCTTCACTAGCTTGATCTAAAGAAAAAGAGCATCAGTGAAAAGTCTTTCTGTGTAGGGCATTCCAGGCACATTGGTAACCACAACAACACTACAGAGAAACACCATCCTCGTAGGGAAACCAGTGTACTGGAACCTAGGGTAGTGAGAGGCAGAACAGGCATTTAAGACTCATTGTCTGTCTGTCTCTTAACAAGTGCCATGCATTTGCTCACCACTTGTCTGTCAGCTTGTTGTGCTGTGATAGCTTCATCTTGCTGTGATGCTGGAAACTTTACCATTGTTGTTGTTGTTATGTGCCATCGAGTCGTTTGCGATTCATAGCGACCCCATGTACAAGAGCCCTAAATGCCGTTCTATCATGTGCCAACCTCGCTGTCTCAAACACACTCATTCCCACCACTCCACTCACAGAATCGATCCATCTCATCGAGGGTCTTCCTCTCCCACGCTGTCTCCACTCTCCCAAACATGATGTCCTTCTCCAAGGACCAGTCCCTCCTTGCAACATGCCCAAAGTATGTCAGATGAAGCTTCAGAATCCTTGACTCCAGGGAACATTCTGGCTTCACCCTCTCCAGGACAAACCTGTTTGTTCTCCTAGCAGTCCATGGTATATTCAAAACTCTTCTCCAGCACCACAAAGGCATCAATTCTCTTTTTATCATCCCTATTCAGTGTCCAGCTCTCCAATGCATAGCACGTAATTGCAAAGACTATATATAGCCTGGATCCAGGCGCACCTTAGTCTCCAGCCTGACGTCGTTGCACTTCAGAACTCTTGAGAGGTCCCTCACAGCTGACTTTCCCAATGCAATTCATCTTTTGATTTCCTGGCTGCTGTTACCAAGAGTGTTGACTGTGGAACCAAGTAAACAAAAACTGTTAACTATCTCAACCTCTTCACCATCCATACTGATGCTGCCAATTGGCCCAGTGGTGAGAATCTTTGTTTTCTTGATATTGAACTTCAGTCCATATTGAAAACTGCAGTCCTTGACTTTACCATTAGGGTCACCTATAGTGGAAAAATGTCAGTGGCGGTTCCAGACTAAGACATACTATGAAGAAATGCCTAGGTATTTACTTCAAAACATTGTTGTTATGTGCCCTTAAGTCAATTACAACTCACAGAACCGTATGAACAACAGATCCGAACCTTGTCCTATCCTGTGCCATCCTCACAGTCTCCACTACTCTTGAGCTCATTGTCAGGATCACTTTGCCAATCCATCTTGTCGAGTCTTCCTCTCTTTAACCTTCTACCTTTCCCAGCACGATGTCTTTTTCAGGACTGGCTCCTTAACAAGCCTCGAGTATGTGAGACAAGGTCTTTCCATCATCCTTGCATCTAAGAAGCGCCCTGGTTGTACTTCCTCTAAGACAGATTTTTTTTTTACTTTGGTATGTTCAATACTATTTGCCAATACCACAATTCAAAAACATCAATTCTTTTGGCATTCTTACACTCTGTCCATCTTTTAGATGCACAGGAAGCAAATAAAAATATAACGGCTGGGATCAAGAGTATCTTAGTATTTTAAGGGAAATTATTCCTGTTTAGTCCTTTGGAAAGTTCCTGGACAGATTTTCCCACTATAACACGTCTTTTGCTGTTATGAGTCCTACTACCATAGGTGTTGGCTAAAGATTAAAGAAATAGTTGACAACCTCAATCTTTTCTCCATCTATACTGATGTCGATTGGTCCAAGAGTGAGGAGGTTTGTTTCTTGATGTTGAGATGTCTTTGATCTTGTGCATAAGTGCTTCAAGTCTCCTTCACTTTCTGCAAGCAAGGTTGTGCCATCTGCATAACACAGGTTGTTGAGGACACACCCTCCAATCCTGATGCCAGGTTCGTCTTCTCAAATTATCTTCTTAGCATACAAAGTGAACACGTATGGAGGAAAGATAAAGCCCTGATGCCTACTTGTCTTGAATTTAAGTCACACAGTGTTCCCACATTTTGCTCAAATAAGTGCATCTTGGCCTATGCACAGGTTTCTCAAGAACACAAGTGTTCTGGGATTCCCAATCTTCTCAATGTTAGCCATAATTTACTATGACCCACAAAGTCAAATGCCTAATGTCCACTCTAGTGCTGGAGGGTGAGCCCCCTAGGCTGGAAGTCAACAGTGGACTTCAAGGACGCTGACAATGCAGAGAGTGGGGTGGGCGTGGCCGTAGTTCTATCTGCTGAACGTGGAGTAAACATGAGTCAGAGCCAACTTTGCAATAACTAACAACCACCACCATGACACCATAGCACGCTTCATCAGAAGGAGCCTTAAGGCTAAAAAAGACCCCTCAGTGCAAACATGGAAGGAAAAATATAACACACTGTGTCCAATTATTCTAACTTTCTGGTGAGATCTCCCTCAGATCCCTTTCACAATTAATTGAAACTGTTCCCAAAATATTATTTATTATAATAATTTGCAGAAAGACTCAGAATACACAGTTAGACTTGACCCGGCTGACATTCGGGCTCAGAGAAGTCTCTGTTGCAGGGGCTGCTCTGTATCTTGCAGGGTCTGTTTCAGCATCCTTGCTCTCTAGTAGATGCCTGTGACACTTTTCCCCAAACATCCAAAGTCTCCAAAGCTGACCCTTCAGCAACTTTTCCAAGGCTCTAAACTGCACAAGAGGGGATCTCCCATCTTTCTCTGTGGAGTACCTAGTGGACTCAGCAGCGCAAGTCCCTACAGACTACTTCAATAAAGCTCCTCAAAACTCATAAGGTGATATTGAAATTCTCTAAGATTAGAAGAGAATATAGGTTTTGGTCTCTATCCCCTTCTGGCCTTAAGATATACCTCTGGCCATAAATATTAACTTGTCAGGGGAATGCCAGTGAAAGAATGAATATGAGCTAATAAGGTCTACATGCTTGGTAGGTTGGAGGGACAGCAAAGAGGAGGAAAATCTCGGATGAGATGGATTGATACAGTGACTGGGGCAATCGGGGTAGATAGGTGCATCGGAATTAGTGAGACTGGCGCAGGAGAGGGCAGGGTTCAGAGCTGCTGTACACAGGGTCGCTATACAACAATGACAATAACAATAACAACTGACCTCTAAGTATTAAAAAAAGGTTACTGAAATTTAGTTGAAAAGAATCTTGGAGACTAAAATGTTCACATCCCAAGGACAATAATGGCCAGCAGGGATGAAGCAGGCCCTCACCCCGAAGACGTCGCCGTTCAGTGGTGGCACTTACCAATCTCTCCATTTTCCATAGCACGTATGTCAGGCCGCAACCTGCAGTCCGTTTTAGGAATCACACTTTCCATTTCCTTGTCTACTTCATTCAAAACCATTGCAAAACTGGTAAAATTATACATCTGAAAAGGGGGGGAAAGGTTCCATTTAAGACAAACCAGCTTATATAACAAAATGAGAAGCCCTTATTGCAGACTAGGTGTGCTGTAAGGAGGACCAGCCCCCAGTCGCATTTGTAAGTGGTCAGACCACTCAGGTTTGGACCACCTCTGTGCATCTGTTTCAAAGGCATTTCAAAGTAGACCTCACAAGATAAATATCTGCTCCCATCAGCATCAAGCAGAAGAGTAAGCAACATCACCATTTGTGCTTTTTCTCCCCCTCCCAATTAAAACCATTACTTGTTGGGTTGGGGGTTAAAACTGAGGATGGTACACCACCCTGCTTTTAACTAGGGCCAGTCTTACTGCTAAGTAGTTATTAAGAAGGTCCAGTAAAAACCTCATGGTAACACACCCTGCCCACCCAGATACCCAGAGGGTGGATAACATGAGTGCCCAGGGTCTTCAAGTGACAGGAGAAGGGCAAGAGGTAAAGGTCACAGCAGGCAGTGGGGGGACAGGGGCAGACACACTCTGCCAGCCTGTCTCCAGGGCCTGAGCTGGCCCTCTGTGTGGGGCAGGAGAAGTCTGTGCTTGCTGGGCGCTGTCTCACCTGGGCGGAGTTAGGAGGCCTGGGGGCGATCCGCCACAGTAGAACGCTTCCCGGGATAACAAACACGCTCTCAGAATCCGGCATGGGCATCTCATCGGACTCCTCGGATGTGCTCATCTTTAAGAATCAACATGAGAAAAAACAACCCCATTTAGGTATATTTAAAGAGACTACTCTGAAAAAGTAAAACAAGCCCCATTCTGTGAACACCACGAGAATGTGGAAGAGGATGGGGAGACCATTACTTTCTTTTTCATCTAGTTCTACCTTTTAACACCATGTTAGGGAGGCAAGAAATACTTGCTCAATGACTGGACAAATTCAGTAAGCATTCCTGCCTTGTGCATGTTAGTGCTATGTTCTTATTCCCACCACTCTTCATGCTAGTGTATCCGGGGCTATTATCATCCTCATTTTTTATTACAGAGTTTTCATGTTTTAAAAGCATCTTTTTTTTGCTAAGACAAAATGATTCATTTGGCTGTGTACTAAGCAGCCTCTGAATGGTAAGCACAGAGGATCCAGGGCAACATGGGAACCGGCTAATGCGGAGGAGGTGGCACAAGAGAAAGGCCAAGCCAGGAAGGGAACGTACACAGAACAACAGAAGCGGGAATTCTGGAGGGAGTTAATGAAATTTACCAGCAGCGAAAAAGAGAACAAATACTCAAGACCTGGAATGCATTTGATAAAAGAGAATTTGGGAAAATGCTTGGTAAAAAGGAACTCTTGGGGACTACTTGTTATGGCCAGAGCTGTATCAGGAGCTGTATACATTTGTTGTTATTGATTGCCATCGAGTTGAGCACAACTCATAGCAACTCTATGAACAAAAGACCTGAAATGTTTCTATAACTATCGTCATTTCTCAAAGTTCATAGAGTTTCCAGAGGCATGTGGTTTAGGAAGTGGATGCCACTCCTGCTTCCTGTATACATTTAATCCTTACCCTGCTGAAGGTTATCCAGAAAAGACCTGAACAACATTGACAGAGAACTACCAGAAATACAAGCTGGGTTTAGAAGAGGTCATGGCACTAGGGACATTATTGCCAATATCGGATGGATCTTGGCTGAAAGCAGAGAGTACCAGAAGAATGTCTATCTGTGTCTGACTGACTATACAAAGGCATTTGACTGTGTGGATCACAAGTTGTGGCTAACCTTGAGGAAAATGGCAATCTCAGAACACTTGATTGTGCTAATATAAAACCTATACTTGGACCAAGAAGCAGTTTTCAGAACAGAGCAAGGAAACACTGCATGGTTCAAAATCAGGAAAGGAGTGTGTCGGGGATGCATCCTCTTTCCATACCTTTTAAATCTGTATGGAGAACAGATCATTTGGGAAGCAAGGCTTTATGAGGAGGACTGTGGCATCAAGATTGGAGGAAGACTCATTAATAACCTATGATACGCAAATGACATAACTTTGCTTACTAAAACGGAAGAAAACCTGAAGCACTTGCTGTTTGACCTTTTGAGGTCAAGGTAGTCTTCAATATGGATTGAAGCTCAACATAAAGAAGACAAAGATTCCCATCACTGGGTCAACTGGCAGCACCATAATAGATGGGGAAGAGACTGAGCTTGTTAGCAATTATAGCTTGCTTGGATCCACAATCAACACTCTTAACACCAACAGTCAGGAAATCAAAAGATGAATTGTATTGGGGAAATCTGCTGTCATGAACCTCTCCAGAGTGCTGAAGAACAATGATGCCAGTCTAGATACCAAGGTGCACTTAATCCGGGCCATGGTCTTCTCAATTACTTGTTATACTTCAGAGAGTTGGACAATGACTAAGTATGACAGAAGAATAGATGCCTTTGAGTTGTGGTGCTGGAGAAGAGACTGGAACATACCATGTGCTGCCAAGAAAACAAATAGGTCTATCTTGGAGTCTCTTCTTGGAGGCTAGGATTTCGAAGTACCACCTCACTTACTTTGGGCATGCGGCCAGGAGAGATTGACCCTTGGAGAAGGACATCATGCTTGGAAGGGTGGACGGGCAGCACAGGAGAGGAAGACCCCAGATAAGATGGATTAATACAGTGACTGGGGCAATGGGAATTCGTGTGTCAGAATCAGTGAGACTGGCTCAGGACAGGGAAGGGTTCAGAACGGCTGTACATACGGTCACTGTGCATCGTGTGCAATTCAACAGCACATAACAACAATAACATACTATGACAGGTTTGGAAGCAGGAGTGGCATCCACTTCCTAAACAACATGCCTCCAGAAACTCTATGAACTTTGATAAATGTCAATAGTTGTAGAGGGACTTCAGGTCTTTTGTTCACAGGGTTGCTATGAGTCGTGCTCACCCGGAAGGCAATCAACAAGAACAAAAATGAACTTGACATCATCATCTCAGGCTCACCCACAGAGAATTCAGGGTTTGGAAGGTTAAAAGTATTCCTAAGGTCACGGTTAAGCAATTGCTAAGTTCTGGTGAGGAATTTTCAATGAAAATGCTTTCTTTAAAAAAAAAAAAAGTTAAAAAACAAATTCACCAAAAAAGTGCAACAAGTCAGACATGAAAGGACAAATACAGTATGATCCTATTTACATGACATATCTAAACTAGGCCAAGACACTGAGAGCAAAGTTTCTAGTGGTTCCCAATAGCTGGGTAAAGGGGTCAAAGGGAAGTTCCTTTTTTTTGGGGGGGGTGTTACTTTTTTTAAAAAAAAATTTATTATTTTTTTAATGTGTGTGCCATCAGATTGGATCTGACTTGTAAAATTTTATTATTTTTTTAATGTGTGTACTATCAAATTGGATCCGACTTGTACAGGACATTGCCCCTCCATGTCCAGCAGAGTAGCTGATGGACTTGAACCACATGCCTTCAGCACTGCAGTACAGGGGGAGTTACTTTTTAAGAGGCCTGAGTGTCTGCTCAGGATGATGAAAAGGTTTTAGAAAATGATGGCGGTGATGGCAGCACAACATCTGGGAAATGCAATAAATGTCAATAAATTCTACATTTGAAAATGGTTAATCATGGGGCAAATTTTTAAACATTAAAACAATCAAAATAAAACAAAACAATAATATTTTAACTATGTCATAATGCTGATAGAAGTCTTCACAGAGTATGTGAACATGCTCAGAGCATGAGAAGTTGACAGCAGGTGGACGAGAGAGAGGAAGATAAGGAGACATGGAGTGCATGTGCAAGAATAAATTATGGTGAGGAAAAGGCCATTTTCCTGCAAAGACTGACAGGAGACTAAGGGACATGAGGGCTCTCTGCTGATCCTCCGCCATGCTCTTCCCTGCCCCACTTCCTGTGAGACATGCTGCCTAATGAGTGGGCTGGGGTGGGCATCTCTTGCCAAGTCGCCTCACACCAGCAGGAGCTGCAGCCAAGGGGTTTTGTTTCAGGTCTCTCTGGGTCCCAGCCCAACCAGTTCCCCACCCACTAAAAAAGCATCCATGCACTTCCGAACGCAGAAAAAGCAGGCAGGAAATGGAGGAGGAAAGAGTGAAAGGAAAGCCTGTGTGCCCAGAGTGATGACAAAAGGAAAGAAAAAAGGGAGGAGGGAAAGTCAAAGTCAGGGAAAGGCTTGTCTGGTCACAAAATAACACTCTTTTCACCTCGGGGCCATGGCTAATTCATGTACAAAGTCACTAATAGGCACGTCTTTTGCTTTTAAGGAATATTCTCTATCACTGCCATCAAATCAGAACCAGTTCAGAGCCAACCCGCGCCACAAGGCTCCTGCCACTGTAAATCACATGGGAGGGGACTGTTCAGCTTTTGCCTAGAGAACTGCTGGTGGGTTTGAACAGATAGAGTGGCGTAGCTTTTGGCTTTAGCAACACAACCCCCTCAAGACGGGCTTTGTCTTACTATGAGCTGGGCACTCTCCTGAGCTCTTCTCACAGGCAGGTACTACTGTTATCCCCATTTTACAAATGCAGGAACGCAGGCAGAGAGGACTCTGAGTAAGATTTCAGCAGCCATCACTGCTGGGGACAGGATCCTAACCCAGAGGGTGTGCTCTCCTAGTTACTGGTGGGTAGTCTGGATGCAAACAAATATTTCCTGTCCAAACAGGTGCAACCTTTCTTTAGCCCTCCGCTCTCTCGCGTGGTGGGCAGGGACTGAATTCTATGAGCTGCAGAGCCTGCCTGAGGCCAGGCAACAAGAAGCTACGTGCTGTACATGTGGGGAATTCCATCAGGATATTAAGTGTCCCATAAAGAGAAAAGTTAGAAAGGGCAGAAGGATAGCAGTCCGGTAGTGACTCATGTCCTTAACTATGACTGTCATGATCAGTAACTCAGTGACAGGAGAAAAGGCCAGCAAAAATGAACAACAAGCATCAACATAAACGGGGTCATTTCAGAAGCAATTTGAAATATCCAAAGGATCTTAATTTCTGTTGCACATAGACAGATGAGTGGGAACCAAACTCCTCCAAGCTGGAGACAAACTCCAAGCAGTTTATCTCCAAGGAACTCCCAATTCTCAGTGTTACCAGAAAGATTTCAATGTTCCAGAGGTAACAATTAGAGGCTTAAAAGAGTGGTGCATCTCTAAGCTAGAAGACAAGCTCTTGCTGCTAAGACAGACACCAGCCTGTTAAGAGAGATGTAGGTAGGAAGGAGGTGGGAAGGGACACTGAACTTCCTGGGAAGGGTGACAAAAAACATGGGACCAAAGTGGTGAGGGCTCAACTCCATGGTAACCATAACTGACGTCACTGGGTTGTACATGTGGCACTGAAATGGCAAATGTTTGTTAAGTATATAGGTAACACAATTTAAAGAAATTCAAGGAGGAAAAATGCCATACATTAGAATATAAGGAAGAAAGCCCACAAACAAAAATTGTCAAACTGTAACACCCCAACAGGTTGCTTCTAAAGGGGGGACCGGCATGAAGGTAGAGCCCAGTTGTTTCTTTGATTCCACCTGACAAGGTGCACACCTGTTTGCTGTTCTTCTTCTCCTCAGTGTTCTTCTTATCATTTTTCTTGTAAGCCTCAAATGTGGCCAGGTCCACACTGTACAGACATTCGGTCCACTTCCCGTAGAGGGCGCACAGCTTCTTCTTGCTGTCAACACAAAAGGATGGTCAGCCACCAGCAAAACCAGCGCTTGGCTGTAGTCTACCATCATGAAGATCTTTATTAACCTGATTCATTACAGAAGACACATTTTTAAAGACTTTTCAATGTACTGGTCAGGAGGATTATGTCTGCATGTTTTAACACTTGATTTTATTTCACGAACAACAGCGATCGTTACTGTGGCCATTGTTAGCGGCTGCTGAGATGGCAGGACCGATGTACCATGGGAACAAAACAATGACAGGTGTCCTGCTCCAACCTCACGGACTTTTCCTGGCTGGAACACCAACATGCAAAAGGAGTTCGCTGACCAATTTTCCTACGTGGATGGGCACGCCTTTCTCTCTGGTTCATTTTAGGGGCGGGAAGTCGGCAGCACCACATTGAGAATCACAGCAGCACACAGCCTCCACTGACAAATGTGATGCACACTGGCTGCGGATCAAGCCAGCTCAGCCCATGAGAAAGGCAAGGGTTTACCACGGTGCCCCAGACACCCCCAGGATCCAAAGTTTTCAATGGAAACTTTACCTTTTGTCTTGAATGTAGCCTTCGACTTTGTGTAATTCCTTACCAAAAAGGCCACATGGCTTGAAATTCAATACACATTTGTCTCCGGTCCTATGAAGGAAATATTAAGTCCAGGTCACTATTCAACATCAACAAAGCAGCAAAGAATAAAGGCACTAACTCTCCAGCAGCACCTGCTATCTAACATGTGCCAGGTTCCACATGGAAGGGACGATTCATCCTCATTTAGCCCACCGCCATCACAAAGAGACCGTGAGGGCCAGCAGCGGCTCAAAGACAAACCTAGACTCAAATCCAACTCTTTATAGACTCTTGTGTTCACCTTCCTTGCACGGCTAACACAAAGGGGAGAATATAAACCGATCAACATAAACAGGACAAACTGAGGGGGAATCAAGGCTCATGGGAGGTGGGGAAGTTCAGAGTTCATCCATCCTTGCTCTTCAGAAACAGAAACTTCAACAGACGCCGCTCACTCCAGGAGCTTCATTTATTCATATGCTTTACTGCCCGATTCGGAAATTTTCATCAGGTTCTGTTAGAGCTTTGCACACGTACACATGCATGTTTGCACACATACACTTGTGTATGAACACACACACAAAAGAAGTCCGCTGGACGCTGTGGTTAAAGCGGAAGGAACAGTCAATCATGCATCCCCGGACTTACTTGTGGTTCGTAATTTCCACATTGCCATACTGCTCAATCCAGAGTTTGCCCACGATGATGTTATGCACACAGCAGGTGGGGTTTGTCCATGTGTATGCTTCATTGTGTCTACAAAACAAAAGTGGAGCCTTATTTTGTTTAAAAAGTATATCTATGTTAAATACAAAGATGCTTTAGTGGTGCAGTAAAGTGTTTTGCTGCGAATGAGGCTGCTGGGGGTTTGACCCCCCTGCTGTGCTGCACCAACTGCTGTCTGCTTCCATAAATATTTACAGCTTCAGATTCCTGATGGCGCAGCTCTACTCTGCCCTGTGGGACAGCTCTGAACGGGAATCAACTTGATGGCAGAAGTCTCGAATGATAATGAGTCTTTAGGTGGCAAAGTTGACTCAGCTCTGGAATTTAGAAATATTGTGGCTTTAACTCACAGTAGTAGTGCCCTCACTGTTCCTTAAAAGAAAAAAAAAAACCCAAAGCCTGCCCTTTGATTAAACTCTAAACAGAGTGTGCATGTATTCACAGGGTATAGGTTGCCAGAATGGGAAAGTGGGGGCTGGTGGTGAAGAACTAGGAAAGAGTCAGTGGGGACAGGAAAAAAAGGGGTAATAATAGGTATAGATTAAAAGTATTTAATGATATAAAATACAATTTATGTGAATGCTTTCATGAACAACAATTAAAATTGGACTGTAGAAAACACAAGATAGAGAAATGAAACAATATGTATGTACTATTGTACGCAAACCAACAAAAAAACCACATAAAATAAAAATTTTAAAAAACCTTCTCCTATTATATACATTGTTTCTGTCACAAAATAAAGTTTGCCTGGCATTGTTAAAACAACAACAAAACAAAACAAAACTTGACGAAACCGAAGTTAAATTAGAGCTGGAGATAGAGTGATGCTCTGACTGGCAGTCAGTGGGGTTTCAGCTTCTGTGTCTGTTACACACACCGCACAATTAGGCCAGTCTTGTGGATAAAGAGACGAGAAAGAGATTTTTAAAAATGACAAGAATCTCATACTGTTTCACAGGCCTCTGGACCCTGTTCCTCCAGTTAGGAAGGAAGGACTATTTCTGAATTGAGGTACCAGAGTATTGTTCCTGATGCTGCAGCCACCACAGCAGAGTGGAGCTGAGGGGCAGGTGCTGGCTTTGGGGTGAGTCTAGGAGACACCCCCCCACCCCCAGGATTTCCCCAGCACTCTCCACCCTGTAGATGTCTACACTTTCAGGTCTTCAGGAGAAGAGATTGGAGAAGCCTGTTTTCTGTCCATTTCCACAGGTCAGCACTGGGATTCAGGATGCCCTGAGTCTCCAATCAGGAAATGTGGGAACTAAAAATAAGACGAGGAAATGTACTCCTGTGTTGGTCTCCAGGGTTTGGTTTTTTAAATTTCTGTCCCTTGTCCTTGCTACTGTTTGCCTTTCAGAGATCAGAGTGGCCTTTCATTCAGGATTTTCAGAGTCATCAAGTGGGAGAGACAGGGTTGTTTTTGTGTACCATGGAGTTGAAACTGGCCCTCTGGAGGGTTTAACTGCGTGACAGGAGATTGTTCCTCCTTCTGCAGAGCAGCTGGTCACAGCACAGCTTCTTGCCAATAGGCCACCAGAGTTCCCTAAGTCCTTGCTGCCTTTCAGAGACCAGAGCCACCTTTGAGCGGGAGAGACACGGTAGGGTGTGCCCGTTCTGCAAGAACTGGAACTACCACTGTCTTTGAGTTTAACATGGTTAAGAAGTTACACTGTTAACCCTAAGGGGCACGTGTGATTCCATCACTTGGGGAGATACACTGGCAATCTTCTCCAACACACTTTAGACTAAAAATCTACTGGAGGACGAGCTCTGGTGGCCTAGTGGCAAGAAGATGAACTGCAATCCCAGAGGTGCATGGTTTGAATCCTCCATCAAATGCTCTGCTGGAGAAGAAGGGACAATTTCCTCCTATACCAGTCAGATCTGATTTGACGGTACACACACACAGACACAGACACACACACACAGAGACACACCCACAGACACACACACACACACTCTAAAAACAAAACAAAAATCTACTGGAGGGTCAGCTATGAGTCTGACTTGATGGTACATAACAAAAATGATTCTAAATGATGAGAATTTTTTACATCCCTAATGTCTAAGATGTACTGCACAACTAGTATTTCACTATTTCTAAAAAGGAATTCATTCTGAAAGATGATGAACAGACCTCATGATGCATAGAGAGCTGTTTCTTAAGAACTGTCATGAGTGATTAACTCTATTCTCTTGGGCTAAACATCAAATACAAACCAACACTGGTTAAATCAAGCAAAAACTAATGCTGTATTTCTCAAACTCTTTTACATGGAGCTAGATAATTTATATTTTCTAGATGCTTCCTCCAGCCCTACCTTTTGAGCATGATCACGCCTGTGTGCAAGTGGATATGCTTAGGGGAGGCAGGGGTATATGGAAAGAGCCCAAGGCTTTGACCCCAACTTACTCCAGGAGCTCCAAGGTAATGATTCCTTTGGGTTCTGCTTCTACGCTCTTGCCCCAGAACTTGAGCTTGGGATAGATGGAGCCATGAAAGATGAAATCGTTGTTTAACCCCTCAGCGTGAAATGCGCTAATTGGTGGGTGATGGCTGACCTGTTCAGAGATGAGTCTGAACCCAAGGTCATCTCTTAAGGTAAAAAAAAAAAAAAAGAAGGAACAGTGTTATTAACTGTACAACTGAATGTGTGCATTACTGCTACTGCTATCAAAGACCAAGATTAAAATATTAAAGAGACAAATTCAACAAAATAGACAATCCCTTGTTATCGTGATGAAACAATAACTTTATAGATGAGAAGTTGTACCGATACAATGCAAACTACTAAATTCAATGCTATTATGGGGCTATTGGACACAGTAAAATAAAAAATTATGCATATGAAACAGAGTAATTTGCATGAAATGACAAAAGGAGCTCTGTGTAGCTCTCACTTATATTAGGATAGAGAAATGTGGTGTGCCCACATTCAAATATAGAAGGAATAAATGATATCAAACTTGTATACAGAGGAAGTAAAAGAAGTAAAAAGAGGCTGGAGCGAGCAGACAAAGGGACCGGGCTGCAGGTGCATCACATCTTTACAACAGCATAGATTTATGCTGACAGACTTTAGATGGTTACAAAAATCAGATGTCTTATGGCCAATATAAGGAGAAAAGGACAATTAATCCCATAGTCAGTGTTATTAAAATCCCTAGGATTACTTACTTTCCAATATGACACTTTTAAATTTGTTTCAATAGTTCTCATACAGGCTCCCAAGTGGTAAGTAGCATAGATATAGATACCAAAGTTACTAAATTGCAGGAGCCATTCAAAATTGATTGTGGTGAAGCATGAAAACCCAACAGTCTATCTAGAGGCAGGAAAAGATCTCACCGGACTAATTCATAAGTTTCTCCCAGAAGTGGATTGAAAGGCTTTCCAGTACGTTCCCACTGAGAGGCAACAGCCGACACAGCAAAAGCAGCTACGCTCTGTTGGACAGAGAATCAGGACAAATTACAAATGGCGGCACTGGCTCCTTCTTCTTTCAGGAGTTGCATGTTCACAAAGATGGTCACCCACAAATTTATTTTTTGAGGAGCTAAATGACTTTAGATTTTTAATATGCTCTCACAACTGAATAAGGAAACTTGGATTTTGAGAATGATAATAAATTGTATTCTCTTCCTGACATGCTATTTCCCAGTGACATTCTTGTAAAACCCCATGGATGTTACAAGCTGTCTCAAGGAGTTCTTAACAAAACCATCCAAAACTCTCAAGACCAAATTACTACTAATTTATCTACAAATTGCATGTTTATTTTGTTTTTTAAAGTAGAGTATTTTGGGACTCTTGTTGTTTGGTGCTGTTGAGTCATATAGGACACATAATGACCTACGAACAACAGACCTGAACCCTGTCCTATCCTGTGCCATCCTCACAATCTTTGATACCCTCAAGCCGACTGCTGCAGTCACTGTGCCAATCCACCTGACTGAGGCTCTTCCTCTCCTTCCGAAGCATGATGTCCCTTCTCCAATTTTTAGGATAATGGACAAGACATACAAAATCATTAAATGGATGCCAAATCTGAGGAGTTTGGGAAAAGATGACTTACATAAAAGAAGAAACAGAAAGATTCTGTTTGGAATGTCACTGCTTTGTTTGAAGGAAGACAATGTGTCTACTATACTTGCCTGTATCAAGTCCATCCATGGACATTACACAAAGAGCTATTTAAAGTTCAAGTCCTTGTTTTTTGTTGTAACGTAAAGCACTACATACATAGTAAGGTACACATAAGCATAAATACATGAGTATGTGCATTCATTCCTTCTTGGAAACACCCTGAGAATTTCTGAAAGAAGAAAGACTGGCATGTTTTAGGGGTTTTTCCCCCTCCCTGCTAACATTCTAATGATACTTTCTAAAAAGAAAACTTAGAAATGGCTAACCAGCTAGGTTTGGTTTACAGATCACCCTTGGCTTCTCATGCAATTCTCACCAGTCTTTTCCACTTGGCAGACACGGTGCCTACAGGCAGCAGAGGAATGAAACAAGGCACACTGAATGTGCTGAGTGGTCTGAGAACCTTTCCCAGCTCACCGGGGACCTGGCACTCACTGTGTGAGTGAGGAGCAGGGCACAGCAGTGTGGGGCAGGCTTCCCTGGTGCTCACACCACAGCTCCCGACACGTACCTGCATCCTTTCCACAGGATCAGAGCAGGAGCTGGCCTTGTGGATGAGGTACGTGTGCTCCATATATTCAGTCAGTCGCTGGAGAAAACTCAAAGGCTCATTGAATATAACTGGCATGGTGATCTTGGATAGCTCCTATTTAAAAAGAAAATGCAAATTGTTATGTTCAATAAACACAGCAAAATTATCTGCCATCTTAACATTATTTTGGAAAGGAGATAACAGAAAACAATCACATATGGAATGGAATTAATATCAGGACCATTTCATATATCTTCCCAGAGCATCTAACAATAAATACAGAGCATACTGTTGTAAGCACTGAAAAGGAATTATGGGAGGATGCAAACACACTGCTTGACTTCCAGGACTCCCCAAGTTAGCAGTGAGCATGCCAGCATGATTAGCAAGTTGCATCAAAATTAGGATATGGCTGAAGAAGGTGATGGGGCACAGAAAGGAAAAAAAAATTCTCCAAAAGATCAACGACATAGCCTACTTCTTGGGGTGCAGGCCAGGTTTTTTTCCGGAAGAAAGTTCCAACAGTTTGTTTTGACTCACAGTATGCACAAACAGGTCTGTCCTAGAGAGGGTGAAACCAAGCTGCTCCTTGGAGGCAACAATTTTGAAGCTCAGTCTCACATACTTTGGGCAAGTGGCCAGGAGGGCCTGGTCCTGGGAGAAGGACATCATGCTTGGAAAAGAAGAGGGAGGAGAGTGCAGGAGAGGAAGACCGAGATGGGATGGATTGACACAGAAACTGGGGTAATGAGGGGAGGTGTGTCAGAGACAGATTGGCTCAGGATAGGACAAGGTTCAGAGCTATGCGTACTTAGGGTCACAAGTGACTAGACGACAACAACAACAACTACCACGACGCTTTTCTAAGCACACTAACCCAGTGTAAGTGGTGAACTGGAGTACTAGAAGGCCACTATGTATGCTACAAAACAGCATCCCATCAAATAGACGTCAATGGCAGGCAATGTGCTGATCTTTTTTAACATTTCTCTCCCCACCCAGCCCTCCTTTTGTGCTGAGGTTTCTGGGAGGTATATGCGATGGGCATGGTGTAGTTTACTGGCTTAAAATATACTCTCCTTTCACTGTTATACAATCCCTCCCCCTAAGTCCACTCTACTACGCAGCCTTCGATCTGGACTCCTGTCATGACAATAATACCTAATCCTATATCCCTTCTAAACAGTTCTCTCTCTCATATGTTTCAATGCAGTATACATATTTACCCCATCTTTCTCAGTCTCCCCCCATAAGAATGAACTAGAGGGGTGGGGTGGGCAGGGAGAAAAGTGCAACAATGGATGAATGGAAATCCAAAATCTCTGTAAATTTTCATTAAAATTAACAATAATAATAATAATAATAATAATAAAGAATTATACTTTCCTTTGGTGTGGCCATTTTGGGGGTCTGATGAAAGGAGGAGAAATCAAAGGCAAAAATATTTTGTACTAAAAATGTGCAAGTGTCTTTTTAAAAAGCAGTGCTGGTTGGTTAAAAACTACTTGGCAATGACATTATCTGGCAAGGGGCTCATTTCTAAAATTCACAGAAAACTAGAAAATCTTAACAAGAAAATGACAACCCAATTACAAAATGGGAAGAAGTTATGAAGACTCTTCATCAAAGAAGACAGTCAAATGGCCAACAAACACATGAAGACACATTAAAGATCACTAGTTATTATTGTTAGGTGCTACTGAGCTGGAATTGACCATGGCCGATAGCCCAGCAGGTTTTTAGAAGCTGTAAATCACAAGGAAGGAGACTCTCGACCTTTCTTCTACACAGCAGCTGGTAGAGTAGAACACATGCCTTTGGGCTGGCAGCACAATTCCTTACTACTAGGCCACCAGAGATGCAAATTAAGATAACAACGAGACCTTACCTCACCCTAGTAAGAGCAGCAAAATTCAACCAGACACCAAACAACAAGTGCTGGTGAGGGCATGGTGAGACTGGAACTCTAATACATTGCTAGAAGTAAAAGGATGCAACCAATATAGAAAGTTGGTGTTTTCTTAAAAAGTTGACAAGAAATACCACTTGATCCATTTATTCCACTATGATGTGTATATACCCTAAAGAAATAAGAGCTGTAAAACAGATATATACACACGCAAGTACACTGTAGCATTATTCACAATAGCAAAGAGATGGAAATAACCCATGTGTCCATCAACAAACAAATGGATAGACAAACTATGATACATCCACACAATGGAGTACCATGCAACACTGAAAAACAATGAAGAATTTGTGAAAGGTTACACAACACAGATGAATCTAGAGAGTATTATGCTGAGTGAGGTAAGTTTGTCACAAAAGAGCAAATATGTACAAGACCACTGTTATAAAAAGTTAAGAGACTCTACAACCAGGAGAAGATAAAATAAATGAACGGGACCTTCTAAGAATCAAATCCCTATGCACATACAAAAACTTCTCCAACAGGGTAAAAACGGAAGCCACAGACTAGGAAAACAGACTAGGAAAAAGTATTTGGTAATGATATGTCAGATAAGGGACTTATATCTAGAATTTATAAAATACTTGAGCACCACAACAAGATAAACAATCCAATTGAAAAATGGGCACGGGATATGAACAGACACTTCACCAAAGAAGACATTCAGATGGCCAACAAGCACATCTTCGTGTTCAAAATCTCTAGCTCTAAGAGAGATGCAAATTAAAACAACTATAAGATATAATATCATCCCAGTAAGAATAGCAAAATTTAATAGAACAGCAAGCAACAAATGCTGACGAGGTTGTGGAAAAGCTGGAACCCTTATTCACTGTTAGTGGAAGTGTAAAATGGTGCAGCCCCTGTGGAAGGCGGTATGGCGCATTCTCAAAAAGTTGCAAATAGAAATACCATTGACCCAGCAATTCCACTACTGAGAATATATCCCAAAGAGACCATAACTGACACCCAAGCAGATATATGCACACCCATGTTTATCGTGGCTTTGTTCACAATAGCAAGGAGCTGGAAACAACCCAAGTGCCTATCAACAAACGAATTGACAGAGAATGTATGGTATATTCATACAATGGAATACTACATAGCATTAAAAAACAAGGAACTCATGCAATATTATTCAAAATAGGTGACCATGGAGGACATTATGCTGTGTGAAATATCTCAGTCACAAAAGGAAAAATACTTCATAGTGACACTGTTGTAAAACAGGACTGATACTGGAGTTGGGAAGAGACTGAGAAAGATGGGATAAATAATGTATACTGCATTGAAACAGATAAAGGAGAAAACTGTTTAAAAGGGATACATGATTAGGTATTTTTGTCATTACAGGAGTCCAGAATGAAGGCTGCATAGTGGAGTGGACCTGGGGGAAGGGACTGTAAAACA